GCATCTCAGAGGGCCCTCAACTCTCTGCCTGGGTCCCCAAGACAGAAACTTGGAGGCCATTCTTCCTTGTTCATCCCTCATCCCTCAAGCCCAACCAATAGGCAAGACTTGTCCATCCTCCTTCTGAAATGTATGGAGTCTGTCTAACCTCCTCCATCCCCATCTTCTGTGGGTTTCCCTGCCTTTTGCACTGCCCCTGACCTAATCTGTTAGTCAACAGGAACTTTCTAAACACGTATCTGAATATGTCATCCCCACAGCCTCCAGAATAAAGCCCAGATACCTTTCCTGACTTACAAGGCTCTGCTTGATGTGAGCCCTACATGTCACCAGAGCCTTAAACTCCAGCCATTGTGGACTTTTCCCAAGAGTATGCTCTCCCTTGCCTCTAAGCCTGGGAACACGCTGCTATTCCCTGTAGCAGGGACACTCATTCTGTACTGTCCCCTCCCCAGTTCTCCTTTCCTCAAATGACCACCTCACTTTGATCTCAACACCAGTATTCCTTCCTCAAGGGCAGCCTCTCCCTCACTCTCAGAGCAGTCTCACCCCTATCCCCCTCCTTCCAGTCCAACTGCCCCGTCCCACACTGGAGCTCTACCCCAGGGCTCTACCAGAGACTCCAGGCCAGGCTGCCCTCACCAATGCCCTCCATCTTCCTACCTGCTCCTGTCCTCAGCCCCTAAGGCCCAGGCCGCCAGCCCTAGTCCTATGTCCCCCTGTCCTTGGTATCCAAGTCTCGGTTCCCTACTCTGTGTAGCTCTTCCTTTTTAGGGTCATGGTCTTTTCTACATTTTCCATTTGTCTTTTTAAAAAAATCTTATTCATTAATTTCCTATTCAAAGAATTATATTCAAATAAAAAGTTAAAGAAAAACATTAAATAATAGTGCAGGTGGTACAAGGACACTGCATGATAGAAGTTTAGGAAATGTGACTTCAGCCAACATTTTGGTGCTCTAAATTCCCTTAGATCCCTTTTACTGTTTCTGGGCATCCCTCTCTGGGGTTTGATGTGCTTTGAAAGCCTCCAATGGCTGGCACCTGTCCCCAGGTCACTGGGACTGCTTTGCTCCCATTCCAAGAGAGCCCAAAGTGCCTGGGCGCTTAAGGCCCCCAGGACAGCCCTTAGCTATGACTGACTTGTGTGAGAGTATGGTAGCCCAGCTCCCTAACTCTTGTTTATGACAACTCTGAGATCCCACATCTAGAACAGAACCTAGCACATAGTGGGCACTCAGTAAATGTTGGCTGAATGAAGAAATGTAGCCAAATTTATCAATCTTATCCTTTGTAATTTCTGGAGTTTTTGTCACTCTTAGTTCCTTTCCCATCTAAGATCGAAAAAGCATTTACTCATATTTGTTCTGGTATATTTACTTATTTATTTGTGAACTTTTCATATTTAATTATTTGATCCATCTTGATAGGCTGTAAGGACTGAGGTAAATATATCTTTTCTCCTCATGGCTTATCAGTTGTCCCAACAGCAATTCTTTGTTTTTGTTTTTTTGCAGGGGAAGATTTGCCCTAAGCTAACATCTGTTGCCGATCTTCTTCCTTTTTTCTTCCTTTCCCCCCACCAAAGCCCCAGTACATAGTTGTGTATAGTTGTAAGTTCTTTTGGTTCTTCTGTGTGAGCCGCTGCCACAGCATAGCTGCTGACAGACAAGTGGTATGGTTCCATGCCCGGGAACTGAACCAGCTGCTGAAGCGGAATGCGCCGAATTTTAACTGCTAGGCCATCATGGCTGGCTCGCAATAGCAATTCTTGTATCTTTCCTTCATTGGTAAAACCAAGATACTATCTTACCTAAGACTCATTCAGTGAGGTATTATGCAATCATTTATAATGATAGTTATAATGATGATGTTACCACATGGAAAAATGCTCACCTTATCATTTTAACCATGATTTTTTCATAGCTACATAAAAATTATGTCAACATACAGGCAAAGTCAGGGAGAAATGGAGGAAAGTAGATTGATTTAAGAAGGGTGACAGGGCTGTGGGTGGATTTTTTCCTTGATTCCTATTAATATTTATGAAATAAATGATACATTAAAACTTTAAATGAACAGAATATGGAGGGGAAGAAGGACTTAAAAGATAGAAAGCTGTTTCCTTGCTTTAGCAAGACAAAGGTATTTTTTTGGAGGTGATCTCAGGAAGCTGAGGACGATGGAGGATGCAGGTTAAGGGAAAATTGTTACTGGAGGGTCCTGGGGAGTGACTATTACAGGAAAGGCCAGACAGGAGAGACTGTGTATGAAAATCACTTCCTTTGGCCCTGTACCCCTGAGCACTGAGCTCCTTCCCAGCCTCAGCTAAGTGAGCAGAACCTCTGGAAGTCCTCCACCCAAAAGGAATCCAGGCCTCAAGCATGTGAGTCAGTAAGTTCAAATGCTCCCATCACCTTGCCCTAATGGGATGCTTCATCAGCCAGGCAGCAGGGATGCCGATCTCTGTGGTTATATACTAAGAATTGTAGGAGAACCATATTTCCTGCACAGCTATCTCTGGAAGATCCCTCTTTGACCTCTTAGAACTCAAGTTTTTAAAAATTGAACTCAGAGAATATTGTGATTCGCCAGGCCCTGGGCCAGCCATACCCTCACAACAAATGTGAAAAGCATTAGCAGTAGGGACACGGGAAGTCCTGGGTGCCATGTGGCCCGAATCTGGTCTGTAGTTGGGAAGGTTAGGCAGGGGATGCCCTGGAGCCTGGGCTACTTACCCTAGGGCTTGCCTTCCTGACCACAAGGGCCCTTCACTTCAACCTTCACGGCTCAGCTGCCCCAGGCAATTCAGTGGGGTCTCAAAGGTGCCATTAGAAGGGCAGTGAACATACGCCAAGGCAAGTGGCACCAGGACCCACCCACAAGCAGAGAGCCAGGATGTCACTTGAGGTCCTGGATTTGGGGGGTAAAACACCCACAGCTTGCCTAACTGCCTTTTCTGGCAGCTCCCCTGAAGTGCTTTCCCACCTGCCTCGGCCACAGGAGTCCTGTCCCACGGCTGTTCCCCACACCAAGACCCTCACGGGGCTCCACCTGGTGCAGAGACCAACGAGGTCTGCGAGCTGCCCCTCGCCAGAGGCGGTCCCGGAAGTGTACTTTAAAATTTTGGACAGGCTCGCTGGTTCCTCGGTGAGCACGCGACCTGGCTGCAACCAGCTTCAGGCTCCGGGGTTGGCCTCGCCTCTAAGCCACGACCCGGCGGGACACGCCTAACAGGGCCTGAAGTGCGCGCGCAACCCGAAGAGGGGAGGCAGGGCGCTCCACGCCGCTACTCGGCCACTCAACGTTGCCCACCTACGTCACGCTCCGCAGGCCCGCCCAAATCCTCCTGATCGGTGGAGAGCGAGCGCGAGTGCTCCCGCCCCGCCCCGGGCCCGCCCCCCTGCGGCACTGCCCCGCCCCTGGCCTACACGGCCGCGCGTGTGGCTTCCCAGTTGGAACGGGAGGGTGGGGGCGCGAAAGGGCTCCGACTCTCCGAGGCTGAGGGGGCACTTTCCCATCGTGCTCGCGCTCTGGCCGTCGCCCCTCAGGCCTGACAGTGGCTAGCTGCTTTGCAGAAGCACAGACCCTGCCCAGCTCGGCCCGCCACAGGCCCCTTCCTCTCCTCAGCCCTAGACCGGCTCCCCCGACGCCCTTCTTGAGGAGCACCCGGAAATGCCCATTGCCCAGGCCCCCCTCGACGCCGACAGCCCTACGTGCCAGGAGGTTGGTCCTCGAGGACCCGCCGCCCGGCACGCGGGCTCTCGGCCCAAGGCTGACGCGGGTTCCGCCGGCACCCCACGCCTGGAGCCTCCAGGCCGGTCCGCAGACGCCCCTCCTGGCCCCCGTTCACTCCTGGGCCCCTCATCCCTCGGGATTCTTCACACTCTGGGACCCCTCCGCCGCTCCGCGCACCCATGGGTTCTTCCTCACACCAGCGCCCGGGACCCCTCCGCGGACCGCCTCGGTGTAAGGGACCACTGCTTAGGAGCCTCTTCCTCCGCACACCGCTGCCCTTCGCACCCACGTCTCCGACTCCTCTTCCTGCGCCCGGACGCCCTCCACCCAGCATCTCCCCCAAAACACCCTCAAGGGACCCTCCCCCCCATCCCACACAGTTACCCCATACTCCTGCTTCCTCCCCGGTAAACACCCGACCTCAGGACCCATCCTCACTCCCGCAGTTATACGATTCCCTCCTCGGTCCCCGGGGCCCCACACCGCACACCCGCGAGCTCCTGCTCATCCTCCGCACGCCCCTCACCCCACTCATCTGCCAGACTCCTCCCCACATCCCTCACACCCCAGGTCCCTCACCCCACTCCTTTCCCTTGGCACCCCCATACACTCCAGGCCCCTCACATCTACCGCAAGAACCTCTCCGGAACCCCCGACACCCCAAGCCCTTCACCTCACTCATCTGCCCAGGACCCTCCCCTCCCGCGCTCCACTCACCGCCTCCGTCTCACCCCGCACCCCTCTCCCCCCGGGGCTGGCGGGCAGCGCCGGCGGCGGCGGAGGCCGGTCCCCGGGCTGAGACACACCCACCCGCCCGCCCTCCTTCTTTCCCTCGCTCCCTCCCTCCTTCCCTCCCTCTCTCCCGCCCTCGCTCCTCGCTCTTTCCTTCCCCTCGCCCGCTCCCGCTTCCCGCGGCGCCCGGCCTCCTGCTCCGCCTCCCCGTGCACGGCTCTCCCGGGCGCGGCTCCGGGGTTCATGGTGACGAGGCGGCGGCCGCTCGAGCCCAGCGGCG